AGTGATCCTTACGGAGCTGGCTGCTTGCATGAGACGCAGACGGGGGGGCTGGAAGTGTGGTGGGGGGCAGGACATAGCATTCACCAGGGTCTGAGGACAGCAGGCTGCACAGACAGGTCACAGCACAACCAGCTTCACCCATGTTAGTCTTCAGAGGGAAAAGAAGCAGTAGTCATGCTCGGAATTATCCATCCACAAAGTCATGGTTAGGGGAAGGTTATCCATGCCTTTCTCTTCCCCAGCACCCTTCATTTCCAAAGCCAGCCAGAAACCTCTTGCTAGGCAGGGAGACCCTGACTGAAGGAAACCACAGCCCTAGAGACTGGTTTGAGGCACAGGGTTTGAGCAGGAAAATGAAACCTCCTCTAAGCATCTGATAAAGGCAGTTGAGTGATGGGTGATTTCAAAACGCTGCTTTGCTCCCGAGCATGGAGGGTGTGAAGCTCCATCAAGGGAAGTAGATCCCACGTTCAAGGGGAAATAAACCATTTAAAAGCTATTTCAGCCCCAGGCTTCCAGCCTGCATCACCAGAATGAATGTCACTCACTGGTTCTGTTGAAACAAAACAATCTTTGACCAAAATACAGAATTTTACCCCAAAATGTGTTGAAAACAGGGGCCTGCCCCCAATTTTCTTAACCTTCTTAGCGTAATTCTTCTAGCTCTGTGTACAAAGAGCAATGAATGCATCAGGACACTAACCTGGCAGGGGGTTATGACGGAAACTTTGCTCAGCTCACCCAGCCCAGAGCTGTGGTGGGTCACACTGGCCCCACTTTGCAACCAGGACCTGCAAAGGGAAGCTCACACAAAAGCCAGAGGGATCTGCCCCCAGCATCCATTGGCTTCTCCCAGCCTGCACCCAACACTCACAGTTAAGCTGCTCACTGGGTGTTGGGTTTGGGAACGTGGTTTCTACCCTCTACATGTACACACAGGCTTCAGAGACATGATAAACCATCTCCATGTGGTAAGAAAGAAGATGAGAAGGAGCATGTTAGAGCCCAAGAGCAATCCACATGGAATTCAGTCAGATTCTCCCCAAATATCGAGGTGGTACCAGCCAAGGCAATTTGGACCCAAGGCTCCATCCAACTTTTAGCTGCAAAGGACAGAGCCTGGGTGTATTTCCTCCAGGGGTAAAGCAGAGATGTCTCCTACTCCTTTGATATGTAAAGGATTTGCACAGGGAGTGCATGTGGAGGAAGCAGAACAAGTTCCTCTGAAATGGGCACATGCTCTTGTGCATAAAGGCCAGACATAGTTGACAAATTGGGATTAAAAGTGGTAAAATAAACAGAAGCAGAGACCCAAACTGAGCACAGCAGCCATGGGCTGGATGTTGTGGCTTCAAAAGCTGTTCTGACACAGCACAGCAGGGTGCAAGGAAAACAAACCCTCCCAAATTAATCCCTGCAGAAGGCCCCTAATTAAAGAAAGCAGAATTAATTCAGCTGCTTTCCAGGGCTTTCAGGAAATCAACGACTGGATCAGCTTTTCCATCAGCACCCTGCGTGCTTTATCCCAAAGAGGAGATCTACAGGAAGGTCAGCTGGCATGTCACGCTCATTTTGGGCAGTGATTTTGAAGCTTTGCTTTTGTAACCTGGTCTAGAAGACACAGGCATCATCAGAGGCAGGAAAACATCCCTCTGCTCCAGGATACACCCCAGGTGAGTGTGCCTGCGTGCACCAGGAGCTGGGGAAAGCTTTGCACGTGGCCTCACAGGTGAGACACAACCTCCCACCTTCAGGGATCTTTTCTGCCTCTACTGAATTCCATCAAGATGCGGTGGTTGCTTGTTAAAGAACTGAACTGGGAAGCATGCAGCAAGCTTCAGGAGGCAGCAATGCAGAGAGAAAACCAAAAGGTTGTAACAGATGAGTATGTCCCACCTTCCCAGTCTCTGCTGGGCATGGTCTGCATTGCTGGAAAGACATCTCCAAAATCATAATCTACAAAAATGAGGGATAAAACTCAGGATTAGAAATGCAAGTAGTGGGGACGGAGAAGGGACAGGGGAGAACGTGAGGGGGATCTGGGGAGGGAGATGGGAAAGGAGAGAAACAAAACAATCTTCCACTGGTATCTGAAACGCATGAGAAAATAGTTAGGGAACATGGATGCAAATGGAAACCAGCTGCACCAATGGTTGTTCCTGTGGGATGTTTGTGTTGTGGGAGCTACCAGTGAGGGATGAAGGAAAGCTAAAACAGAAACATGGTCATGTCATGGCTGGGATCCCTTCTGGGAAGCAATTTAGTCAATCTGTGCCTCAGTTTTCCCTCTTCACACCTACCTCCCATAGATACTGTGATGTTTGTCTCATTAATGTTTGCAAAGTGTGATTAAAGGGAAAAACTTGTCCAATGATCCTAAAATCCCCAGCTCCACCTACACTCACAGGGCATGGAGATATGGAGATGCTCCTGTTGAAATGATGAGCAGTGAAATAGTTACTGACGTTCAGTTCCTCCAAGCAGGAGGAACAGTGGCGCTGCCTGGGCCCAGGCACCTCGGCTGTCCTGCTCCTGCTACAGGGGATGGCATTTCTGCATCACCACTGAACCCCTCTATTGCATGGGCAAACGGAGACACAGATCACAGCTGCTGCCCGGGCACATGGAATAGCTTGTGATGATGCCAAATCCAAAAATCTACCTCCAAAATCTCCTGGATCTCTACTCCAAACCCCTCTTGTCATGAGCATTAAGCTTCCATTCACCTTAGGGGCTAGAGAGCATAGCCAAACCCAAGTGACGCCCCTTGCCCAGTCAATAGGGACAGGCAGGAGACTTGCTGGCACCAAGACATGTTCTGCTGAGGGAGCACCAGGAATACAAGCCCGGGGCATGCAGCAAGAACTGAACTGCTGCTTATGTCAAACCCCTGGGGACAGAGAAGCTTCTTCCTGAGACCTTCCTTCCAAGGCTCCTCGTGCTGTCTCCACCTGGGATGCTGGAGGTTTGGCATAAGCAAGTCCCAGAAAGCAAACCTTCCACACTTACAGCATGAGTGCGGATGTCACGGGTGAGCCCAAACCAGTGCTGTGCTTCAGTCCTTTGCTAAAGGATATGCTAACACCCATCCCAGGCTGTTCCTCCCCAGCATCTTTAATGTCTGCTGTTTCTGTCTTACACATTAAAGGCAACTGGGAGACCCTTGTCTCAGAGGGAACCCATCCGTATGTGGACTCAGTCCTGAATTCACTGCATCCAGTTAACAGCACTCATCACCCCATCTATTCCTTCCAGAATCCCCTGATCTCGCTTTGATCAGACTGACAACAAAAAAGGAACAGGGGTAATGTATTTTGGAGCTGCTCCTTCATGTGAACATGCTTCATGCAGGGTAAGAGCTCCCTGCTCCAGCAAGAGCTCCCTGCTCCAGCCTGAAGCAGGTTTAGGGCACAGGCACAAAGTACATGTCTTCTCCTTGCATCAGGAACAACATCCAGCCCCCTCTGATAGGGATGAGGGGGTGAGTAGGACAACTTATGAGGCTGCTCAAGTTAAGATGCATAAAAAAGGAAAACTAGCACCTCTGAGCCCACTGGCTCTGGGAGCAGGTATGTGGGGCAGGAGGAAAGTCCCTGGCAACTATTCCCCACCACCTCCACCATATGTGGGTCTCTGGACTGCAAAACAAGCAGTTAAAAAAGGTCCTCTGCAGCCCTCGTGCCTGCTCTGAGCTGGAAGGCACATTCAGGTATGGGCATGGCTTTCACTCCATGGGGAGATGTCTCCAGTTCTTCCTAAAACACCCCCAGGATGGAAAGGTGGCCTGAGGTGACTAGCAGGAAAGTCCTCTCACAGTCTGAGGCAAAGGGGCTGTCCACAGTCGAAGTCCCAGCATGACCCAAGGCAAGGTAGGAGAGACTGACAGCCTATCTTCTGGGTCTCTTGCTTTGGTCTTTTCCAGCCCATCATTTGCTGCCTCATCCAGTCTGACAGCTCAGCCAAAGGGGATGTGGGAGCAGATCCCATCTCCAGCCAACCACTGACCTTCACTGGATGGAGCGATGGCACTGTCATCCCATTCCAGGTTGGTGGAGGTGACTGAGTTGAAGGAGTTGAGGGACAGGCTGTCTGAGCCATGCACGGAGCTGGGCAGACGGTCCTCAAAGTCCAGCAGGTACTGAGGCTTGTAGTAATCTGGCATGTATGGGGCTAGATCCAGGTAAGGAGCATCCTGCAGAGAAGAGAGTGTGGGGTGAGTCAGGCTCCGAGTCACCACACACAGTTATGAGCAGAGCTGAAATGATGGGACTGTCCTTGAACAGCCTCTGAGAGCCCATTTCTGCCTTTCACAGGAAACCCAGCGGCTCCACTGCGACACCGAGGGTTTGCCAGTGGCTCTGGGTTCACCTGGAGGGACTCCAGCATTTCATACCACACTTGCTCAACTCCTTATCCCCACCACGCTGCCCTGCAGCTGCCTTGTTCCTCTCCTGAACCGTGCAGAGCAATAGGAATAAACCCCATTGCTGAATCTCCAAAGACCCCAGCCTAAAGCCTTTCCTAAAAGTGGCAGCTACGTGTTCTCAGATGGAGGCCAACAGGAAGGTACAGCCTGGAGCAAGCAGTGGGACCTGTCACACCCAGGACTCCCCCTGCCCCACATACCTGCTCCCAGAGCCAAGAGAAACAGGTAAAACACTCACCAGATCCAAGTCAAAGCGGATGAACTCCAGCCCGGACACCAGTGTTAAGAACAAGGTCAGATGATCATGACTGCAAACCAGGGCGTTCCTGCAGCATGGATTGAACAAAAGAGCTTTAGAGATGTGAGAAAGAGAAGAAACAGCTACAAGTGCCCTTCTGTTTCCTTCATGGTGTCTCTGAGCTGCCCTATAAACTGCCCCAGGGCTGTGACCCTGCTGTCTGCCTCGTAAGAGCAGTGGCAGAGCTTAAGGGCAGCTTGGAGCAGTTGCACATCCACTATGTGCTGTCCCCAACCAAGCTACAGCCAGACTTCCAGCTGTCCACCAGAGCTGGGTCCCAAGAGCTCAGCAGCTTCTCGGAAAACATGGAAGAATAAGAACAGTACATCTGGGACTGGGAGTAAAAGCAGTAACTAGGAGAGATGCCTGTAGGCTCTTACAGGACAGTGTGTCCACAACTGGGACCTTTAAACTGATCATGCAAAACCCACAAAGGAAAAATCAGATCCTGATCAACCGCTTGTTCCCCACTGACAAATTAGGGCTGGCTTCTGAGAAGGGATGGCCACTGATCCCGACAAGGAGCTGGGATACTCACTTGACATAGTACTTATGCAGCAGGCTTAGGTTCTCCTGGAACAGCCTCAAATAGCTCTCCAAGGAGTTTTCGTTGAGGGCTAAGTACAGCCATGCCCGGCCTGAAAACAAAGCAGCAGAGATTCATCTGTGCAGAAATGCCTGAGAACTGAAGCAAGCCCAGAAATAACCATGAATCAGCTAAAACATGTCTGATCATTCTTTCATATTCGTATCATTCCAGGGAAGCAACTGACCACTGGGGAAATCTGGGGGGAAAAATGCCAGTGGGAAATGAAGGAGCAGATTTGTGATTTGGAGAGGGAATGGGAATAAGAGACTGTGTAGTAGCTGCTTGAGAAGCAGACACACAACTGTGTGTCTCTAGTGAGATGGGAGCCCTGTGGGCTTCTCCAGGGATCGGGAGACAGGAGAGATGGAGGGAGAATCACTCTAAATCAGCACAGGAGCAGTCTGAGACATTACACAAATTCTGGTGCAGAGAGAGGTGATGGGGGAGTCTGCTCAGCTCCACTCTCACCAGTACGGGCTTGGGAGATGAAGGGTGTTGGGAGAAGCAGGCAGAGAGGAGGTCTCTGGGCACCGTCCTGCGTCAAAAGCAGCCTCGATGGTCCCAAACATCCACTACAGACAACTTGCAGCAGGGGAGAAGCAGCATCAGGCACCTGATCCTGAGGCACGGTGCATATGGTTAAGGCAGGACTCCCACCTCCTTGGCCTGAGGAAAGCAACCCGAGCTGCCTGCCGGGTCCCTCGCTCTGCTGCAGCCCCAGCCCTCGACCACATCAGCACAACGTGCCTGGGCCTCCTGCCAGATGTCCCTCAGAGCCAGGGCAGTGGCTGTGAACACTTACTGCGCCCCAGGTTGGTGGCCACGTGCTGAAGCACCTCTATCTGTTTGATGGCTTCTCGGCGGGTGAAGTGAACGACCAGCACCCAGTAGCCTGAAGAAAGATCTTGCAGGCTGGAAGAAAGAAACCCACAGGAAGCTTAAGGAAGGGATTCGTTATCTCCATCCCAATTACTGCCTAGATGGCTTCTCCATACTGAGGCTACACACTGGGTGAAAAGCACCCCAGCAGCTCCACACTCACCCATAGAGCAGAGCATGGTCCAGATGTTCACAGAGCCGCTGCAGGACCTTGTCATGGTTCCTGATGGCTGGTGTCTCATCTTCACAGGCAGCAAAGTAGCTCTGCAGCTGCGAAAAGAAGAGATGAGATGGCTGAAACACCCTTCTACAGCCCACTGAGGAGGCGGATGGAGATGCCAGCACACTCACTGGCAGCATTAACTAGCTTTCTTTAATCTCTCAGCTCGCTAAACCTTGATACAGGTTACTTACGGGGTGTAGCAACTGGGTTTAAGAGTACCCTAAAGGCAGTAACTCATAGGCAGAACCTCACCCACAAAGACTCATCCACATTTCAGAGACAGGCCAGCAGCATGGCTGTGGCTGCACAACCAACTTCCCTGTGTGCTGAGCAGGTTCAGGACCTGCTGTGCTGCACAACCTGCTCCTTTACAGCCAGTGCTGCAGCAGGGTTTTGGTGCTGCTTCTGCAGTGGTGCAGCCATCACAAAGCAGTTCAGAACAGAAATAACTCCGAGCTCTGGGCTCTGTTTGTGGCTCTGCCATGGACGAGTCGCCTCCTCAGCCTCAGGATCTTGCCATGGCTGGGGAGAGATGTTGCTTCCAGGTACAAAAGATGCTCTGAGTCCAGGAGCTAAATCTGTGTGAAATCTCAGCAGAATCTCAGCATCCTGAGAAGAGACAGAGGTTTCCTTGCTGCAGGTGGCCCGAGGGAGCACCACGATGCTGGGTATTGATGCCGGGCAGCTGAGAGCTGCCCCAGGCTTTCCAACACAGGCTGGTAGGAACTGCCCGGCCACACAGCACGGGGACTCAGAGGGTGCAGAGGGCATCGGATAGAGGCAGAGCCACATGCTTCTGCAAAACCTGCTAGAAATCCCAGAAATCCCCTTACCCCCAAATCCTGTATCCCTTCCCAGCTGACCCACCGGCCTCCTCCTGCCCCTACAGCTTACACATCTATTTAGGTCCCTGTCTCACACATAGTTGGCATTCAGGCAGGGAGGTTACTCACGAGGGATGTAATCTCAGCTCTCTACACCACCTTTATTTGTCTGGCTGGCGACAAGCGAGCGCAGTTCAGCTGAAACACAACAACACATCACCCACATGCACACATTTTAGTGACCTGACACATCTTTGCCAAACCTCACCAGTGCCAAACCTCACCAGTTACCTGGTAGATTTAAAAACCAAACACTTGTGCTTGTTGAGTCTGATCTGTCCCCAAAACCTGGTTTCTCCTCCTGAATTATTACTAGAGCCAGAGAAGCTGCTTTAGAAACACCATCCAGTCTCCATGTAAAAGTTACCCAAGGGACAGAGAACACCTCGTGGCCCCTGGAAGACTGTTCCCGACAATACTCTTAAAAACATGAATAGATCTAGCTCCAGCACCCTCCCTGCTTGAAGAGTGAATTCCTCTAGAGCTCTTGGGTAAGACGGGAGAGCCAGGCGTGTTCCTGCATGGAGCTGGTCCCAGCCCTTACGTGGGAAAGAACTGCTGAGCCCAAAGAATCGTGGCCAAATTCCCACATCCCATCGCACAGCACACATGAGCCTGCCCTTGTCCCGAGGAATCCAGAAGGTAAATCCCCTGTGGAAGGGAACAGGCAGCAGTGTTTTGTTTGCAGAGCCACCTGTGGGTGCTCTGGTGATGCACAGACCTCACAACACCCAGGTGAGACCTGAAGTATTTCAGCTCAGCAGCTCTTATCCCTTCCTGGGAGGAAACTGTCCCAGATGATTTACACTATTAACGGGCAGCCCAGACACAAGCAGGGAGGAGAATGCCCTAAAATCCCACTATTTAAGAACTATTGCAGGAGCTACCTACAGCCAGTGTTTTAAGCTGTAGAGGAAGAAATGAAGTCATAATTTAGAGCCATATCCCTCAAGCGATGGACAGATGAAACTGCAGGGGATGCTCCCCCTGGAGCTCACTAAAATAGCCCTTCTTTTAGGAAACTGAGGCAGGAAGCAAAAACTCTGCCACACAGGCAGGATTTGAAGGCAGCAGTTCCTGGCTTGGCCCAACCAGGCTGTTGCCTCTGCAGGGAGCTGGGGTACCTCGGAGGAGGGCTCCTGTCCTGGGTGTTTCTGTAGGTTCTGTGCTGGTTTGGGGACAGCAAGGAGGAAGCAAAAGTAAAGCAGGTCCTCCATTAGCTGACACTAAACCCAAAGAGACCCTCAGCACACAGCTTGGTGAGGACATCCTGGAGGAACTTGGAGCCTGTCTGTGCCACCAACTGGAGGAGTTCCCTGTGACAGAGACACTCTGAGCCTGGGCAGCAAAAGAGATGAGCAAATAGAAGCATTTCCTCTTTTTTCTTTCCTTCCTTCCCCCAAAATAACTTAGATCTTTGTTACAGTTCTTCCTCCAGCCAGTTCACAGCTCCCAACCCTCTTCATTGCTTCACAGACCAGCCTACTCCCATCACTAGAGGATGCAAACCACTAGCAAGCACTGGATGTCTCATCTCAACATCTCCAAACATTGAGAAGCAACCAGGGAATTTCTCAAAATCAGATTTCTCTTCCCTTGAAAAGCCAAATCTTCCCCCATGAAGGGCTCATTCGGTGTTATATTAAGGCTTTTAGCTGCTCTGCCAGAAGCACGCAGCCTCCTGCTCCCCACAAACCAGCACTGCACCCTCTTCTTGGGGAGGCTGCTGGAAAACCCAGCCCCATAGTGATGTCCAGAGCAAACCCACCCCAAAAGACTCAAGTGTGTCCCTCTGCAATGTCAGGAGGCAGCCGATGAGCTGGTGTGACTGTGCTTTGCTCAGTCATGGGGTCACACCAGCCCTGCGCATGTGGGACCCTGCCAGGGGAACCGTGAGCTCAGTAGTTTTGGATCTGGATCCAGGCACTCCAAGTCGTGGCATTTTAAGAGGTGTTAGTCACAGGGATGTACACCAAGGGCTCATCCTATCCATAGGCACAAAGATGTGCTGCCACATTCCTATAGGGTGCTGTTTCCAGCATCCCATCATCCAACAGCTTACAAGCCTAGCAAAAGACGTGCACAGCTTACAACAGCCCCAAAATGAGCTTGACCAGACAAATCCCTGCCAAACCACCACGTGTCCAGTGAGGAAACAAGACAGGAGAAGCCTCAGGATCTCCTGGGTTGAGTCATCCCTACAGCGAGGGTGGGGAGAGGCTGAGAATTGCCAAAGCTGATGGGGAGGCGTTTTCGGCTTGGGAAGGAGGGTGAGGAGGAAAGGTGCAGTGAAACAGCTGTCCCAGCTGGGGAGCAAAATCCAGTGGCCAGAACAGGCCTGGAGCTGGCCTGCTCCCAGATCCACCTAGCTGGAAGTTTGTAGGAACTGCGATGACAAGCATCTTGGTGGAGCCCAGCACTGGACCCCGATCGTGCAACGCAGGCAGGAGCCACGTGGCACTGCCCTGACAAAAAGGCATTTCCATGGAGCATTTAATTCTCTAAATCACTGTAAACCACAAATGAACCATTTGAAACCAACCTCTCCCAATTACAGCAGATGGACCTGTTTGGGAGGTGGTGACCAAGCTTGATGAAGCATCCACAAAGCAGCTCCCTGCCATGCCTGGGCAGCAAGCCAGGCTGGAGCCAGGGAGAACCAGGATGGAGGCAAGGAGCCACGTTACAAACGTGAACCAAACGTGACACTGGTCACCTCTGGGTTTTCCAGAGAGATGCTTTTCCCCTCCTCTCCTCTGGGCTCCAAATCCAGAGGGAAAGGTTGAAGGCTGGCTCAAACAAGGACTCATGTGGGGCACGGTGAATGCCTCGAGCCCTGTCCTGGGGCTATTTATAGACATTCCCGTGGCCAAAATAAGCACTGTTGGCTCACAGGAGGCATCTGACACCCGGAGCGCGCCGCAGCCGGCCGGGTCCCAGCACCCTGGGACAAACCCGCCTGGGCGACCTGCTTACAAAGCCCAAACACTCGAGGCAGGTGAATTAAGCACACTTGAGAGGGAAGCAGAGCAGAGGGTGTTTGTCTAAAGGGAACAGGGCTGGTTTGCCGGGGGGGAGCACAGGGTTTGTGCTCCTTCCATCCCACCTCACTCCCACTGAGGAGAAGGTGGATTTAATTGCTGTTTATCCATCACAAGCTGACTTAACTCTGTGCAATGACCCACCACACCCCGTGCTGGTACGCACCAGGAAGGATCATTCCTTGCACATGTTTAGAAGCTACTAATTGCACAGGTTCTCAGTGAGCGTGAAGCTCTCCAGGCCCATTCACAGAGCTCCTGTGTTGCAAGAGACGCCAACAAACATGCTGCGAAGTCCATTCCCCAAATCTAATCGTTCTCGTGGTGCTCCTTTGAAATCATGCCAGTGTTTCTAAAACCTTATTGAAATACTGAAACAGAGCCTCCTGACCTGACCATGGCTGGCCACAAGCCAACCCAAGCTCCATCTCCACTCCATAAATCCGGCCTGCAGATGTTTCACTAGCAGTTTCCGGACACCAAGTCCCTCTCCCTTGTTCTGCTTGGCATTTCCCTGACAGGACAGACGTGGCATTCCTTCATGTCCCCAGGCACTGTGCTTGCTGCATGGGAAAGGCGAGGGGTGCTTCGAAACCCACAGCACATGGGCTGCTGAGGGGCTTTCCTCAGCTGCAGGAATGGAAAACGAAAGCAGTAACCCCGGAGCAGCAAGTGGGCAGCCAAAATCTAACAGAAGCCTTTGTTTGGCCTCAATTCTTGTTCTCTCACCATCTCCCCCAGCAGCTGAAAGACACCTTCTCCAAGCTATCAGGTAGGTGCTGAGGGCAGTATTTCATGAGCCACCCAGGCAGGCAGCTGGAGACGCAAACCCCAAAGCCTGCTCCCAGGACCTGATTCTTCCACCAACGGGACAAGGATGGTGGCATGTTACCTACCACAGTGCACAGCCAGAAGAACCCTCTGCAAGAGCAAACCCACATGGTTTCCTATGAAGGCAGCCTGCAAAGCTAACAGAGTTATTAAAACCAGGCTAATTAAGAACCAGCTCTGGGCCTTGGCACTCAGTCTGGGGCTGCACCCTCACGAGAAGTGCCAATGGGAAGGGACAGGACAGACACATAAGGACCAGCACTCTCATACCTGCTCAGGGGAGCACAGCCA